AGGGTCTAAGCACCATCTATCTGGCCTGAGGAGGAAAAATGTTGGGCACCACTGTTCTAGAACATTATCAGATGGTTTCCTGTTTTTTCCTGTAGTACCTGGGTATGAAGCTCATAAAGAGACTGAAATGTAACATCTGCATAGGAATGATACAAGTGACACCACTGTGTCCAGGAATATTTCAAAGGAGAGTATGAGGTAGCAATGAGGAAAGTCAGTGCACAGTTTTATCCAAAAAGATCTCAAAGCATTTTACTAGCTGATTTACTAGTAAATCCAGGAGAAGCTAACATCTTCTTCCCTCTCTCATCCAAATTTCAATTATCACCTACCCCCTAGCATACTTTACTTACACAGCTCTTCTCCAGCATACATTAACCTGAGTATATCTATGCTTTTCACACAATGCATATAAAACCAATTCTACTGTTTAATGGCTTTGCTTTGTCCACAACTGCCATGAAAACCTATTTGAAGTATAACTGCTGTTCAACTGCTGTGGAGCAGTTTTGATCACAAAGTGAAGAATGTCTACTTGAAGCTGGCAATTTAAAGAAGGCAAAGTATACTGTGGTCATGTGATAATCCTTTCTTATGGAAATTCTATGGGACTTTAAAGATCAAAGTGTTCAGGAGTTCATTGACTTACCTTTTTCTAGCAATGGCCAGACTTCTAATCATTACTTCCTTATATGTTTCTCTGTTTAAAAAACTACACCTTTTTGAAAAAAATGTTTTTTTTACGGTTAATTGCAGGGAGAAATTTGAGAAAAACGAGAGTTCCGTCACACAAAATTTCTCATGCTAGCAATATCTCATTTTCAAATTTCATGATGAAAATTACACCAAAAAGAAATAAAAATCAGACATTGTATCTAATGCTAATAAAAACAATACTTCCATAATTAAATGATGTCTATTTAAAACCATAATTAGGGATTTTAATTGATTTTGGTGACATAGATAATATAACAGCTGTACTGATTTTGTCCATTGATAACTGAATGGGTTATAGAGAAGGCTTAATTAGTACTACTTATTAAAAATAGCATAAATAATATCTAGTTCACAAGATAAATTGTATAAGGGCCAAATCCCTTTTGACTTCAAAGACATGTACACATGCTTCATGGTCAGAGGCTAAAGGATGAGCCATTTTAATTCTAGCTGAAACAGGATACTTGCCTTCCATCCAGCATGAAACCATTCCAATATATTACTCACAGTACAGATGACTCTGATTTTTAAACCTTATAAAAAGTGCACAGCATATCTTAATGGATGGGGGTACCATTCTGTACCACATAACTTTGCTTCATTAGTCAAATGTCCAAGTGGTTTGAGACACCATGAAAACACTGTTCTATGCAAACAGACGTGGAAAGGGGATTTTGCAAAAGGCTGGATGTTTCAAGGCTGGTCATTGAGCAGGTTTTTTTAAACACAATGATTTAAGAGTCACAGCTGGACTTATTTCCACTTACACAGTGTGTGCTCTGCAGGTTTTTCTGTTTTCAGCAGCAGTATGCAGAAATGGCATAGAATCATGAGATATAGCTGGGAGAATGACCTCAGTTCTCTTCTGCACCCTGCCAAGCCTATCACATGGATAATTACCTCTCTCTGGCTTTAGGATAAGTCATTGGTAAGGTTAGAATGACCAATTGCCAGCCCTCACGGTGCCATTGGGAAAGAGCATTGATAGATACTTTTCAGAATTAGGACCTTGGACAAGACTTCTGAAGAGGTGGCGGGAAGAGGTGGTGGCGGGGGTTGAGAGGGAAGTATGCTAATCTAAAGGTGGATAAAATACACTGTTCCACTGGTAAGGAGTCTATCATTGGGGCACATACAATCTTACTTAAGTCCTTCCCTGAAACAGACTGAAATAATATGGCAAAGCAATACAGCACATAATCTTGTCCAATTAAAACAGTATCTTAAACAGGACATTGTCAACTTAGAGAGAAAAATCACACCTGTACCTGAAAATATACTTGCTTTAGTTATAAGTGATCCCTGGAATCTTTATAATGAGAGGAACTGAAGAAATATATATTTCTGTTGTCTTTGCAGTGTGTTTACTTTTGCTTTTGACAGCCTGTTAGTCAACTGCTCATTTTTCTCATACACAGACATCGCTCTCATACATTGTTCTGAGGGGGCTGTAACATGTACTCTGTTCTCCAGGTTTCACAAGAGGACACTTTCTTGCAAAAGCAAAAATAAAGCTGAAACCAAAGCAGTCTCTGGTGACATGTAGACATGTACACAGGGAGGAAAAGACAGGAGGCGGAGTGCTTTTACTAATCTCAGGTCTGATCAAAAGATGTTATCACAAGAATAGGAAAAGGTTATTATTTAATAAAAATATAAATATAATAATTCTAAATGCTCTACAAGAGGAGATCTGCATCAAGAAATACTATATTTTTAAATAAAACCACTGCAAAGAATTTGAGTTGACAGACTTCCTGCAATGAGGCATAAAGTCTAGCTCCACACAGAGGAGAATACAAAGGGACTGCATATGTAAAAAGTTCCAAAATATCCAATGTGGAGATACCAGAATGCCTGCAATAGCAACTAAGAGGCACCATCAATTACTGAAGTGTCCTGTGAATTCCTTTTAGAGCATGTCTATACCTAGGCAATGCCATACTGTTTTGTTCCTATCTCCTGAACTGGGAACAGTGCAGGTAGGTTTGAGGTACTGCTGCACTTGGCTAATAACTAGGAACCTACTTAATTTGTGGTTTTGCAGTTTTTGTGGAGACCACGAAAACTGGCAGTATCCACAATCACTGGGAAATATTCCATCGGTTGTGATTTCCCACAAAATCAACTAAAAAACCCCCCAAACCACAGCATATTATTCATATAATAAACTGTTTTAAAATCTCCTAATCCTTACCATGAATTTAGACAATGTATCAATCCCTACAGCCACTCTCATATGCTTGAGACTACTGACTATCTGCAATGATGGCAGGGCCTCTCTGCCAATCAGCAGTGATAGTGGGGCCTCTCCTCTAATTAGCTGTGAGGGACAAGACTGCTGGGAAATGCTCATGAAATTGGCTCTTCCTGCTGTGAGCAAGCCACAAAAATGGTTTTGTTTTGCCATGAGTAGGTCTCTAATAATAACTGCAGAGAACAGCCAATTAGCCCTCCCACAATACTGCACTAAGGCAGCATGGCAAGTTTCAGCATGGCACCACCCAGCAGGAAAAGTTGATGGGAGAGTTATGCCTTTAGTGTCTTTTTGTTCTAAGGAATCACACCAGTAAAAGGCTTAAATCTTGACCTGGAAATCAAGATCTTAGTTCTTCAAGTTCTTGAGTTCTAAATGAAAACATCCTCTCACAGTTTCTGTGGTACTAATCGCTGGGGACTTCTAACCATTAGGAAACAAAACCATCACATTTAGCCTTATTTAACATCTTAAGTCTGAGCAGCTCTATTTCAGTGCACTCTTAGTGGGATATATATCCTTCCATTAGTAAGTGACCACAGCACTTAGGGAGTTGCAGGACTGCAAATCAGCACTTGAAGAATGTTGGTATTCTTTAGACACTAATAACCATTTCAAAGCAGTCCTAGGACTGGTCTGACACCACTTGCATATGGCTGGTAAAGCTCCCACAGCTACTTAGAAGCCTATTTTCAGACCATGACCATCCTCTTTACTCCCTAGGGCTTCATAGAAAACAGTCATTTGCTTTGTTTTAGTTCTTCACTTATTTTCTGTACCAATTTTAAACTATCCATCCTACCAGTGAGTGCTCCACTATATGGCCTCTTTCCAAAGGGATGAATGTATCCCATTAGAACCCTGGGCGGGAAGATCTATAGAGGCCCAGAAGTATGTATTCTTTTCTAGAGGCAACAGAATAACAGATGAGCACATACTGCCTATGAATAGTCCTCTTGCAACTGTAGAGAGTCTTCTTTGGGCCTTGCAGGTTCTCAGAATCCTGGCCTTTCTCCACCAAGCCTCTTATTTCCATTGCCGCCTGAGTCCTCCATGTACTACTTCTTTCTGTGCTGACTGCAGCTACTTTGCACATCCTAGATTCCTACCCATCTGTATTCTCTTCCATTAGGGTGAATTCAACACTTTGAATTCAAACCTCTTTTACCTATAATTATAATCTCTTTCATAATCTGCACAGCACTGGATAGACCTACTATGATTTGACAATAATGACCATTTGGGACTATGAGAAGTTGATAGGAACATTTCAAAGTTCCTTATCAGTATTCTTAGTGACTATCCAAAGCAAACCTAACATTTTTTTATTTACCAAACTTTATGCTCATGTCTGATGTCCAGTTATTCAAGAAAAGGCAGGAAGGTCAAAATTTCTGCTGTATTTTTTTGGTTCACCAAGCAATTACTTTAAAAAAAAATCATGCTGAGAGTCTTTTTGGTGTGACAATTTTTTAATTCTATCACAACGGAAGCCAGATTCTGTTCATATTTATACTGGCACAAACCCAGATTGTTCCCACTGACTTTACTGAAGCTATTTTGAATTTACATTGGTATAGAATAAGAACACAACTTGGCCTGGGGGCTGCGGGCGGTGGGGAGTTGGGGGTGGGAATCGAGTTTCTTCACAGTTCTGGATAAAGCAACCGGAGAGAAAATGCTCATCCTTGTATGAGGATAGATGGAAGATTCACCTTCTAGGTTCTAAGTATTGTGAGCAAAACGTTTGTAATAAAACTAAAGGAAAAATACTTTGTAGAGTTTTAACCAGACTCTTTTGTATACAGTATAAAAGAAGTAGATTATTTATACAGACCTCTTCTTCTTCCCAGTCTATCAAATCCCAATCATAAGCAATCACTGCTCGTCGCCTTTTCCAAAACTCCAGGAAAACAGTTGCTAGAGCAAAAAGAAGAAAAGGAAATATAACATCACTTTCACTTGATGGTAAAGTGTTAACTACTATCAATTCCTATTTTCATTTCTTTGCATAAATAGGTTTTGTTGAAATACAAATCTTTCCAATGATCAAAGCTATCTTCAAAAGATATTGCTTTCTATCATGTATCAAGCATGATTGAAGCTTTAGAAATTTAATTTAGTGCTAAATGAAAATGTTTAATGTTCAGCCAAATAAGCGAAGGATTGAGTAGAATGAAATGATTCCAGTGAATCATCATAGCTAAACTAGACAGACTAATGACAAAGGAAAAGGTTTTTTGGGGACAATGTAGATAAATCAGGTACATTTTCTTATCAGAAAACTATTTAAAAATACACAAGGAATCTGAATTCTGGGGAAGCCAAAATCTATACATTCCAGTACATATTTAATTCAATACAGAACAATTTACTCACACACACACACACCCACCCACCTCTATATATCAGAGTTTATTTTTTCCACGTGAAGCACAGTTGAGCATGAAGCACAGTCTGAATTTATAGAGATTATTGTAATATGGTATGCATAAAAGTGACTGTGCTTGCCACAGTATTTTATATTGTAGAAAAGATCAAAAAGCACTCAGTTGAAGATACCAGGACAGATCTCGATGTCCTGGTAACTAAAACTGGCAATGGATATCTTTTTTCTCTAAGTCCTATCTTAGCGAACACATATTCATGGACAAGAAGGCACTCTTGGCTTGCCTTCTGAGATTATCAACAAGGCCAGTTTTATAGTCTTTTCTGTGATGGAGCTACTCATTACCTAGTAACTGGATTCAGTGCACCAATTCATTTAATACAGACCAGGAAGCAAACCAGCCAGATAGCAAGATCTTCCAGCCACTATTAACTTGTCTTTGATTTCCACCCCCCCGCACACACTGTTCCCCACCCCCAGTTCCCCACTTTTCAGGGAAAGTGGCAAAATACCAGAGTGATTCTCATCACAATATTTCTACTCCATGGATGCAGACTATTTAAAGAACCTTGTGAGATTTTTCAGTCCAAGCTTTTGAACTTTTCATCTATCAGGAAAAAAATAATTTGTTCCTCTTATTATTCAAGTATGTTTGGAGAAAAGGTATCTGTGGCTATATTAAATCTACCCTTTTCTTTTGAAGTTTCTTTTTGATGCTATTTTTAATTTATTCAGCAGTCACCAGTGGGATCCCCATGTTGTAGCCCTTTTTCCAATTGTATCACTTTTATCTTTTTCTACTGAGGACAGTAGCCCATCCTTTCTGTCACTGGATATTAATAAAATCATAGAATAATAATGACAAGGGATCTCAAGAGATCATCCAATTCAAATGCCTGCTCTAGGCAGGACCATCTCTATCTAACCTAACCCAGACAAATGTTGATCTTAGCATACTACAGCATACACTGTTGATAGCTCATCTCTGATTGATTTCCCATATTTTTATACTTCTGAGAGCTGCTAAAAACAAATTTAGAGACCTCTTTTTTTTGTTATTAGACTAAGACCCCCACCTACATATTACACTTAAGATGTGATAACCAGTCATGCCTTAATGGTCACCTGGCCATATGTTCAATCAATTAATGGTGTGTTCAAAAAAGGAACTAATTACAAAGTTATTCCACAAAATATGTGTAATAACTTTGTAGCAGCTTCCTACCACAACATTAACTGAACATCTGGTGGGGGCCCCTGTGGCTAGAAGTTCAGTCAGCTGATCAGAGCTCCCAGCTTGCGGAGGGGGGAGAGGGGGAGGATGTGTATCCCTAATCCTGGGAGCTCCCAGTTGACTGCAGTTTCTCAGCTGTGGCATTGCATGGGGTGCCCCCATGGCTGGGAGCCCTGTCAGCTGAGGAGTCTCCCAGCATAGGAGCTTGCTTCTTGCTAGTGCAGGGGGACCCTGGGATCAGGTTCCCCCTGCATGGGCAATAAGGCATGATAGGACCTGGTTCACCATCCCACAATCATACCTCCTGCCATGCATGTGTAGCGTGGCAGGAGGTGCAATTGTGTGGATGGTTCATTAGAACCCATCATGCCTTTACCTGTATGTGTAGATGGGCCCTAATTATTGCTACTACCCCACATTCTCTTCTGAAGGTGACAGCTTAATTTTGTTGTACTTGAAACACTTCTTTTAGGATAGATGGGATAGATTCATCCCATGTTTACTGTTCTTGTCAGGAACTCTGGGGCCCAAACCTAGGTCTTTCCAGGCTTGTGGGTAGTAGCCTGGGCTGCAGCACCACTAAGCAGCTAGCTAGGCACTGCACCCAGCCCAGCCTGGGACCTCCTGTGAGGTTCCCAAGGGGAGACCACGTGACACAGGGAAGCCAATGAAAGCCACAAGTCCTTGATGGGAGAGCTATAAAAATCATCCAACTTCCCCTGAGGCCTTGTCCCAGCAACAGTGTTTGTAGCCTTATTATTTGGGACCCTCCTGCCTTGCTCTAGTCTCACCTCTTTCTCAGCCCATCCTTCCCTGCCTCCCACCTGCTTCTAGTCATTGACCCGTGTGCCTTGTTCTTGCCTCACCCCTGCCTTGGAGCCTAGTACCTTGTTCTTGCCTATTGTTTTGTATGCTTTTGACTCCCTGGTTCCTGACCTTTGTCCTGTCCTTGACTATGGGCCCATCTTGACCCCCAATCTGGTATCTCAGAGTCAGACTGACACCTGGTAGTGAGACCATTGGCTTTGGCTTCTGGACTTCTGGTATGGTTGATTTTTGGCTGCTGAAACCTGACGCTCCACATCCGGGTTGTATCCATGACAGCTCCTCAAGACTTTTTCTTGAAGCTCTGAATGTAACATGTGTTACCTTCCAGGCACATTTTGCTATAATTTTACTACACTATTGTTTATTTCCCTCTCAACCTCCTACCAACATCCATTTCTGCACTCATTTCTCAACATCATCTTTTTTCCACATTCAATCCAACTTGCTTTGCCTGAGATAGAGATTGGCTTCTTCTGGTTAATGACTTACTCTTTATCTCTGATCAGGGATTCTCTTCTCTCTCAACTCTATTTCTGAGTATCACTGAACATCTCTTTCCTTCTTGAACACAGGTACTCAGGATTACTTCAAAGAACCTCCCTAAATTCCATCTTTTTTGAGAGCAAATGAAAGAAGCTCTGTGGCTTGAAAAAGAAAAGAGTTAAATACCTCAGCAAGGTTATATTTTCTTAAACTCTGTCTGCTACACGATAATTCTTTTATCACTGAAAACATGCCTGCTGGGAGGCAAAAAGGAATTATAATGAGGACATTTTTAATGTCCTCTTAAGGAAATATGGGGAATGGAAGGAACAGGTATATAAGCTAAAGTAATTCAGTTGTTTCTCTAGCAAAGTAGTAATAATGGCCACAGCTGGTTCACTCACTGTTGAAGGAATACACTTGAATTCAAACAACATATGTTTATAAACAGTGGTAGACAACAACACTTTTGTAATATTTGTCTCCAGTGCTTTGTCTAAATAATCAAACACTTTGCTACTTGATCTTAAAAAAGAATGTACTTGTAGTTTAACTGACTGACTAATTATCCAGGATACCTTTTTTAAATAAATGTGCTTTCATCAGTTTATATGATGAGCCCATCTATTGTCTGAGCATTGAGTCTTTGTGTATGTGTATGTATGCATGAACATGTGTGAAGCAAGAGAGATTTTGCATAACTCAGTCATAACCCTAACTAACATCTGATACATTTTTTGGTAAGAATGAATGTCGATAATAGGAAACAAATGACATTCTTTCATTGAAGCCGTATCCACGTTTTCAGCAAGCACAGTATATCTTTTGGAAACAGTCAAAATTTAGGTCTCTTTGTCAAAAGCAGAAACTGAAAAAGGAGGCCTTGAATTTCACAACCAGTGAGCATTCACAACCCCAACTGAAGTCAGTGGAAACAGTGTATGCCCTGACACTGAAAAAAGAATAAGGCCAAAGTTGGTTGGAAACAAAAGCAAACAAATGATTTGTCCTTATCCTGAGATTTGGTAACAACTATGTAAGAATCTATTCTCTAGAAAGCACTTTCTCTGCCTTTGATAATATTACTCTACTACTCACTGGGTGTGTTTACATGTGATGTTATGTGTTATGGCAGGGGTGGGCAAAATGTGGCTCGTGGGCCAGATGCGGCCTGCCAAGCCATTCTATCCAGCCTGCGGGACCCCTAAAAAATTTAGAAAATTAATATTTTTCTGCCCCTGGCTGCCTATCATGCAGCCCTTGATGTCTTGCCAAAACTCAGTAAGTGGCCCTCCGCCTGAAATAATTGCCCGCCCCTATGTTATGGTGATGTAACATCGATGGGCACAAACCGTGACGCTGCAGCTACGTTGCTGTAGCAATGTGCTCCCTCAGTATAGCGTGTTGCTATGGTGATGTAATGGCTAAAAATAACCACGTGCTGCTGGCATGGCACAGTACGGGCTGTTACTGTGCCGTCATTTAGTACTTCCAGAAGTACTAAATGATGGTGCAGTAACAACTGTGTCATAGGGGCATGTGTAGACATGTCCACTGAGCTCTGCTGACACTTTACAGCCATAAGCCCACCTAGACACTAAAAACTACATATGAAATGGCTCAAAAATCTTTGGGGATATTTATGCTATTCATAACCTAATTTTGCATCTCTGCCTGTACACCCACAAGTTCAGAAATGACTTTTGCAAACCAGATATAGCTTGCTAATCAATTATTGACTTAATAGATGGGATAACAAAACCATTATCTGAAATGTGAAAGCTTTGAAGCAGGTATTTCAAAGACATCAAAGAGTTATGTGACCAAATCCTTTAGTCATCTTTGGAAATCCCAGCCTGCATCTGGTGAGAAGAACCTTATTGAAGAAAGTAAGATAGATACAGTTCTCCAGAGTCCTATAACATTCTTGGCTGATGCTGCTAAAATTAATGGCACTAAGGAAATAGTTATAGTTCTATCCTGGCC